CCCCAAAACCCCAAAACCCCAAAACCCCAAAACCCCAAAACCCCAAAAGTCAATAATTTTATTGAAAATTTGAACTAATATGCTCACCTGTAATATCAGAAGTAGCAAAGGATCAGGACTTGTAGAATTCGCACCTGAAATGACCTTGTTCGAATTCTTAGAGCTTGTAGCAGAAAAATCAGGAATTTTACCGAAGGATATCTGCATTAGGAAAGGATTCCCACCGAAATTTTTGGAAACACAAGATTTGAGTGTCACCGTTGAAAGCATGGGGATTGCTGATAGAGATTCACTTATGATAGAAGAGAATCCTTCAAACTCTCTGTACTCCCAAGCTGGTATTGTTGAAGACCAGGAAGAAGAGGTCAAAGAAATCCCATCATCCATGGAGAAAGAGACTGATGCTGTTGAGGAAGAGGTCAAAGAAGACTCAGATAAGTAAGAAATTTTTTAATTTTTAGGTCAAAAATCATCAAGAGAGACCCTAATTTGAAGAAAGTCCTCGATACCCAGGTCCAAACTCCAGACAGTGATGGGAAGATTATGATAAGGAGGATCATTGATGCAGATAATAGCTGCCTCTTCAATTCTATTGGGTGTTGTCTACTCGGGTCGAAGCAATCGGCCAAGGATCTTAGAAGAATGGTCAGAGATACAATCAAGAGTAACTCTTCAGAGTATGAAGCTATCATTGATAAACCACTCAGTGAGTACTTGACATGGATCATGAATGACGAATCATGGGGAGGAGGAATTGAACTGTACATTCTTTCAAAACTTCTGAGCACTGAATTCTATGTTATCACCGTCGAGAGCCTCAATGCGCAAATCTTTGGAGAAGGACAAGGCTACAAGCAAAGAATTTATCTTCTTTATACAGGAATCCATTATGATATTGTGACAAGGAATATCTTTGAAGGGTGTGAGGAGGATGATGACATAAGAGCATTTGAACCTACAGACAAATTTGCTGAAGATGGAGCTCTTTTCGTAGCTAATGAGCTCAGAAAAAAGAAGCAGTTTGTCAACCTCGACGCATTTGGATTTGTATGAACAGTTTGTAGTACAGGACTTGAGTCAGTAGAAAATTTAAGGGCTCATGCAATGGAAACAGGACACCAGAATTTTGCTCAAGCTTCTGACTTCAAAAGATAAAACCATTTCATACTTAACTGAAGTATTTCAGTGGGTTTAATATTGAAAGGGGTTTTGGGGTTTTGGGGTTTTGGGGG